ATTTAGCCGTGCCGTTGCACGTTATTTAGGTGCCAGCACGCGCCATTTGTATTCCTGTGCACGCGTGCGCTACGAAAATTCGCGATATTGGCCTTCGCCATCCGCCCCCGCGGAGAAACCGATGCCCCGCTTCCGTGTTACCGTGCTCGCGTCCATGTTTTCGGAAATGAAATGTTTCCTGATCGCGGCGGACAACCCTTAAATTTGCCATTCGACCTTCGATCGCAGGGGGAGCGGCCCGTTTAACGAAACAGTGGTAACTACGGGGATGAATTACGCGACGTTCGCGCGAATGGACTTCAGCGAATTATCCTCGTGATAGTGCGAGGTATCTGTGTATCCTTCTAAAAATTCGCTCCTTTTTTCTCCCTCGTCCTCTTTTACTTTTTTTCCTCCATTTCTGCCGCGTGTTTGCGATCCCTTTTATTTTTTAACGCTAAACCTACCGTGGCCTAAATCTACCATGACGATTCTTTAACTTTTAATTAAAATTCTGCATTCAACGTTGTCTCTTTGATCACTTGATTCTGCAATTTTTTTTTTTTTTTATATATATGATCAATGATTTTTTAACCCTTTACACTCGAGAGACGCCCTTCAGTCGCCATTTGATAATTCCTTGATTTCCGCCATTTGATAATTCCTTCATTTCCATTTCAACCATTTGATTTCCAAGATCGATATTATTTAATATGTCAAATGTAAAATAATGTAACGGTGCACGAAGTACCAAAATTAAATCTACGTGTTAATTATTATACGATTCCTTATTTACTGTTCAAAAAGATATTCTCAGCTTTATAGCAGTAAATCTTTGAATTCCTACTCTTTTTTAGTCCAAGAAATCGTCGAGTGCAAGGGGTTAATATCTCTTACAATTGTATCTTTTCTTTTCTTTTTTTTCTATGGTTTCCTTTGATATCTTTCCTTCATATTTTTACTAACAATTTTGCAAATAATATTCATATTGCAAATAATAATTTTATAAGACGTTTGTTAGAACATATTTCGAATATTCCGTACAATATATTCGATATAATATATCACAAGTATACTTGAAGACTCTGACATTAATATATACATATGCAGGAACTACAATATAATAATCGTTTTTGAATATTAATTTTCATTCACGTACGAGTTAATAAAAAATTTACAATTCTAAGTAAATCGGAATTTTCCTCGTTCGTTGTTAAATTTTAATTTATCGCGAGATAAATGAAATATAAAATTAATTCGAATCGTCAGATACGCGAGGATGAAAGAATTTACTGGGCGAAATTACGCGTAATAAAATTTAATTAAGTTTTAAATTATTTTCGCCATATCCAGAAAACATCGTGGTCCCTAATAAATTTAGTAAACACAATCGAATCCATTATCGACTAATTTCTCCGATCTCTTAATTTCTAAATCCGTGCATACGGTTTCATAATACTTGGCGATATAGTTTCGGTACTAACATATTACTCGTGTAGCTGCAAACTCATCCAGAACTACTCCACGTTTTGATGCTTTAGAGAACTATCAACTAGAGAACATCGAAACTGATGGGAAGCTCGATTTTCGCTCTCGGGGATGATCAACGCGATTAATACGAAACCCGATGGATGATTTGTCGATTCGATGACGGATGATACGCGCGATATTTTCGATTCGCGACGATCGATTCTCTGCGCAAATCGAATTCGCGAATTCGTAAATATATTCATTTCCAAAATTGCAATCTTTGCAGTTTAACATATTTCGAAGTGCATTCGACGGGGGAACACTGGATTTTTCCGAGATTTCGGTATTTCGAATCTAAAAGAGTATTAAAAATTGATCATCGCGGTAATTAGACGTGGTTAGACATAATTAGCGTTTAAAATTGATTTTCCACGCGAACGTGATATCGGCCACGTTTAAGGGTTATAACCATGCACTACCATTACCAAAATCTACAAAGTAATTACACGGCACACGCTTGAAATAGAACGACGAATCTGGGCACAATAGACGACACTGTTAATCCGGCTTCTAATTACACATAGAACCAGCCGCTCTACGTGTACCAGTTCAACGAAAATTTTCGCCAAGCTTCTACCTATCATTTCTAATGATACTCGTTGCATTAACGTGTACACACAGCCACCCTCCATCATAAATCATTTTCACCATCAGCATATCGTAGCGAGTGTATAAACAGATCGACCGATATTATTATTCCAATCAAAATCAATATCAATGTCGAGAAAACAACAACAACAACAACAAAAAGGAAGGGAAAGAAAATAGGAAAAATTATGAAAATTTTTCAACATAGCTACAGATCTCGAATCCCTTTCAACTCGATCTTCTTTCTCTACTATTTTCGAAATAGATCAAAGATATTCGCAATCAGGGGAAAAATTAAATTAGAATTTTTCGTTCCTCTCTATCAAAAAATGATTCGACTCGATCATCTTTCCTTTCTCTACCAAAATAGTCTCCTTTTCTAAAAAATACAGGGAAGCTGTCATCGATCACTCACGAAACTTGAATTACACTCTCCTGTACTCTCCGGATCGAAAATTTATTGAAAATTCAACGAAATCGTCTTAAAAAGAGGATCAAGACAGGGGATATCAACAGATCGAAGATACTAAAACTGCGAGAAAATTGGGAACCTCTGGACTCGAACGATTATCGCACTGCATTACAGGGACGCAGAGAAAATTGAATCGGCTAAACTAACGGGACCTTCGTTCAATAATTTACAAGGGTTAACGTGAAACTGACGGCGAGTCTAGACGATGATTGATGAGAGCGTAAGTGCATCGTGTGCTGCCGCGGTCTCCGAGTGCAGCCAATGAACACTTCCGTTTCGTCGATGCACCCTGCACGTCCAGCTGGCACACGCCGGCTCGTAATATCATTGATTGGCCTTTGTTCGTATCAACGCCGTTTCTTCTCTCTGCATACACGGAATGTGCATGTTTATCCAGCTGTGTGCGTACAGTCCGCGCGAAAACCCTAGTGCTCTCATAAATCATCGCGGCCATCAAATGGCCACTTCACCGATGTCAAAGTGACATCGTTGAAGTCGTTGAAACTCGCCTCCATTTGGAGTCTGTCGCTATAGGTATCTAACACCGAGTAATAAAAATGGAGAAGGATCGAATTTGAATCTCGAGCTGATTCGTGGACTACCATTTACGTTCGACGATTTATCAAATTCCATTTTACGTTTATTTATTCCGTTCAAAATAATTTTAATCTTTAAACCGTAAATCATCCTGGACTATACCCGGAAATGGAGGAACCGGGTCCAAATCGTCATCGTACGACACTGGTCGATCCTCGAAGGTTTCGTTTTCCTTTAAATTTTTCATCTTACTGTTTCGAAACGCGACTCGACTGATTCCACGAACGCACTATATTTCTCGAGCAGACTATACGTGCAATGGATGCACGCTTCGAAAGGGTGTGTACCCCCTGCACCCCCTGCCTTTTGCGCGTTTATCGAAGCTCCGTTTCACGGCAATAGCAGTTCCGTTTGTCAATGGAAAAAGAAAAAAGCACGAGAAAGGACGCGATACGTTTCTAATTACGAACCGGGTCGCGTTTGGGTACATTGGTCTCTGGGCGTTGACACCACGTGAAAGGGGAATTTTCCTTTTTCCCCCCTCGCGCGACCCCCTCGCGGTGCACGCTGCGCTACCCCTAATTTTCGAAATCGCAGTGACTAGAGAGAAACGAGACTCGATCGTTCTAATAATGGAAATTTTTCGATGGTACCTGGTACTACGAATATTTTGGAAATGGTACCCGAAGATTCTGAATCGGGGATGACGAGGTAGCTCGTCATTGGGAACGCTCATTACGCGTTGTAATGGCTATAACAGTTCAATAGGATTTTCTTCTCTTATTTATTTAAAAAAATTAGCTGACCATGATATTAGTCGAAAATATCAATATAATTGAATTTTCTAGTCAAATTTTCTTGAACTGTAATGGCTATAACAGTTCAATTGGATTTTCTTCTCTTATTTATTTAAAAAAATTAGCTGATCATGATATTAGTCGAAAATATCAATATAACTGAATTTTCTTGTCAAATTCTCTTGAACTGTAATGGCTATAATACTAGAGCTACGAGATTTTCCGGACTCTTGCAATTATTGGAAACACGCGACTTGTCTTTGGTAATATCGTTGACTTTTATCGAGACAGGAATGTAGCTATATACAACAGTGCCCCGATGATAAATCTTTTTCTTGAACTTCGTGTCATTTTGTATCTTCTCTCTAACTTTTCTATCTTTGAAACTATTAGTATTGAACATACCGTTTTCTTTGTTTTATAATATGTATCTATTATCGAGGCACTACTGTGTATCTAATTATTTTCATCGTAACGTTCAAATTGTTGCTTGCAATTGTTTGTATGTACGATATTTAGCCATATGTCTTTGATAATTCTAGCATGAGAAACTTTAAATCGTGCATAGACTTCGAATTATATTTTATATATATTTATGACAGCGATAATGACACGGTGTTTTCCATATATAGTATATATTCATATACTATTCGCTGAATATTAATTCGTAAACGCAATTTTAATTCATTTGCAATTTTAATCCGTGGTAGAACATGTTATTTCAAATTGAATAATCGTTGATATAATCGAAATGTTTCGTCTCACGTGCAGAGGATCCCGGTTAAAAGGTTAATTATAAAAACTTCATGCAGGGAAGAATCGTAAATGTTACTGGTCAAACAAGATACGATAAGGTGGCATGCAGATAGGAGTGTTAAGAAAACTGGTCGTGCTACTGGAAGCAGAAAGCAATGAAAGAAAGGACGTTCTGTCTATTGCAACTCACTTAACTCGCACTTTGGTTCGAGCATACTTGAGCTCGGGAAATTCGTACAATAAATTCTGTTGTTACTGTGTGCGGTGTGCGTGTTACGTAGAGAGAAGGTCTTTTATGCGATCTGTACAGAGGAACGTTTAAGTTGCTGTTGAAAACTTACAACGTCGATTATTTGCATTAGTGTAAGGCCAAAGCTCAACATGAGGGGCTCGGACTCATTGCCAACCGGACGCTCCAGCACGTTGTATGTCTCCAGCAGGTCGGTTAGCAGCTTTTTCTCGTGAAAACCGCCGTTTACCAGCCCTGACCAATTATCACTTATTCAGTCATCTCTGTGCAACCACGATTTTGAGCCACTTTGAGCCTCGACTAGCCTCGTGAACTTCTCGAGTCCTTCCGCGGTCCACGCTCGCATTCTTTCAAGAACACCACGTTCTCCCTTTGTCCGAAACTCGCGAAAGGGAAAGCAATTCCATGGAAAGCGAAATGTTTCTTTTCTCTGTATTTTTCTTTTTTAAAATCGCGAAAGTTATGTGAGTAAACAAGGACCGATTTTGGAAGATTATCTCACCGATCGATAATGAAAGTCTTCGTTTATCACCCCGTATCTTATTGCCTGGAAACCCACATCGAATTCTTTATTTATAATTCGCGAAACAAAAGGCAAAAGTGTTAAAAAAAAAAGAAAAAAAGGGGAAGAGATATTGCGAAATTTAAATAAGCAAACAGAGGTCGATTTTAAGATTTAAATTTGGAAGAATATTTCACCGATCGATGATGAAGATTTTTGTCAGTGATCCCGTATCTTATTACCTGGAAACCCACGTCTTCTTCTTTATTTATAATTCACAAAATGAAAAGCAAGAATATTGTTAAGAAAAAAAAAAGGAAGAGATATCGCGAAATTTAAATAAGCAAACAGAGGTCGATTTTAAGATTCGAGTTTGGAAGAATATTTCACCGATCGATGATAAAGATCTTTGTTAGTGATCCCGTATCTTATTGCTTGAAAAGCCATGTCCTTTTTTTTTTGTTTATAATTCGCGAAACGAGAAGCAAGGATGTTGTTAAAGAAAAAGAGGGGGGAAAAAAATATCGCGAAATTTAAATAAGCAAACAGGTCGATTTTAAGGTTCGAGTTTGAAAGAATATCTCACCGATCGATGATGAAGATCTTCGTTAGTGATATTGTATCGTCTTGTCTGGAAACGTGTGTGAACCAGAATTCTGTAGATTGCTTGCATACGTGGAACACGGAATGTTAGTCGGCGTGGTTCAAAGTGTACATGTTTAGAACTACGTTGCCCTTTCTTTTCAAGCAATTATTGCCAATCTAATAATCCACGATGGACTCGAAGAAATCTATTTTCTCTTATCTCTTTGTTCGTCAATTTGACACGTAATTAAATACGTATTCGCCAGAAAAGGAAGGGCAAGAGTAAATGTCTGCAGATATCCGTGAGTCTTTCGATTTCACACGCTTGGATGGGTAAATTTGCAATTGACCTGTGAATAGAAAGAAGCATTGACTCCTCCTCCTTCCAACTCTGCTCCAAACGTGTCACGAAAAATGTCCAAGATCACATGACTCCTGTGTACGCGCGTAATCGCGACAATGGTGAACGCGTATCGGAACGAAAATGGAAGGCAAAGGTTAATCGGAAAATCGGTAGATTACCCATAAACTCTTTGCACGCGCGATAGAGATATTCCAGGTTCCCATGTAGCGTTGGAAATCGAATGGCTCGAAGGTGGAATGTCAAAGAAACTTGACAATTTTCGCGAACCTGTTATCGACTGTGGCCCTCGTCCTATCGATGTCGTATCGCTTCGTGTCGACGGAAAGAAACAAATGAAAAGGAAAATAACGACGATACAAATTTCTGTCGAGTGTCTTAAAGAACGTTCATCTTCTTTCGATTTATCCCCAAGCTTCTCTCCCCGTTCAGTCGCCTTTTACGAGTCACCTCTCGCTCAAGTTTTGCGCTACTTTTCGCGAATATACAACTTCGTAATCTCTCTTTCTACCAAGGCTGCAGCCCACCCGACCACCCCCTTTCTTCCCTTCTCTATCCCATTCCACTTGCCAATTTTCTCTCTCTTTCTCGCTTCCTGTTGCTCACAGGATACCATTCGATATCTTGTCCCGCAAAACAGGTCGTATTAAGGAGTTGCTGAATCGACTCGTCGCGTTGGCAATGGCGATGCCGTGCTTCGTTATAAAAGTATTACGGTCTGAAGGAATTGGAGACGTTCAATCACTCTAACCATTCATGGAAGGATAATTCGATAATTCTGCGTACAATTACGTTTAATACGTAATTACGTTTGGGAAATTACGGCGATAATGAATATCTTGAGAAACGGTGGAAACGGTAGAAATGGTGGAAGCGACGTAAATAATTGGATACCATGGGCCATACACGTCACAGGGGCCTTAGTTAAAAGTGGTTTAGACTAGTCGAAGCTAGTTTCGACTGTAACACGCGATAGACGTAATCATTCGTTCGACTAAAGCGTATATCTTCGATTATTGCAGCTTTGCCTCTGAAGCCCTTTCGGTAGCAATTCGAATCGTGAGAATTCCATTCCCGGAGGGAAAATTCCGCGCATCAGTGATACGTCGTTGCATTTGGCACGCTACAAACGTTATCGTTAGCATCCGCGTTTACAATTACAATGCGAAATCACCGACATCGGCGAAGCCCTGTACGCACGCACGTCTCGATATTAAACTGCGATCACGCTGCAACGAGAAGGCGAAATCTAAATTTTCAACGGAAAAATTCGATCCGCCATTATGGTATCGTTCGCGTAATTCAGATTAGCTTTCAGCTTGATAGATCGTCGATGAAATCGTGCGCGAGGAGTTTAAAATTACGAACATGTTCGTTCGTGACTAATATCTTCGATTTTTAATTTAATTCGCGAGAAAGAAATCGACCCTTTTCGATGCTCAGGAAATTACGAATCTCACGGGGGAAATTGGCCAGATAGCTAATTAATATTGAAAAAATAACGATTGGAAATTATAGTATTACGTCTTTTATTAATTTAAATATAATTTTATGATTTTCAAGCGTACCGTGCCCAAGTATACTTAGGACCTTAAACGAAATGGGTAAAAAGGAACTGTCTCTCTATTTTCGTCATTGTAGTGCACGTGTAATTAAAAATATTTGAAAGCATAGGAAAGAGAAATGACGTTTATTCCTATTTTTCTAACCTACGTCAAATTTTCAAAGCGGATGATCGCCATTTTAATTATTAGGGGGATAAACCGCTATAACTTTCGTTACTGTCCCAAAATTAATTATAATTCGAGGGATTATGAAGTAATGGTAGTGGAAAAAATGACAGAAGATGAGCAATGTTTGTCACTCTGAAACAAGTGGAACGAAAGAATGCGATTTCTTTCTTCCACCCCTTCTATAATGTACCCAATGGTGCCTATTTTCCTGTTTCTAACTGCGCAAACAAGACACGGCATAGTGCTCCTAAATATTGGAAAAGTAACGATTGGAAATTATAATATTACGTCTTTTATTAATTTAAATATAATTTTATAATTTTCAAGCGTACCCCGTCCAAGTGTACTTAGAATCTTAAACAAAATTGGTAAAAAGGAACTCTCTCTATTTTCCTCATTATAGTACACGTGTAATTGTAATGCAATTTCATCCACGAGTAATTAAAAATATCTAAAAGTGTAGAAAAGAGTTTATTCCATTTATTCCTATTTTTCTAACCTGCGTCAAATTTTCAAAGCGAATGATCACCATTTTAATTATTACAGGGATAAACCGCTATAATTTCCTCTCGTTACTGTCCCAAAATTAATTATAATTCGAGGTATTATGAAGTAATGATAGTGGAAAAAATGACAGAAGATGAGCAATGTTTGTCACTCTGAAACAAGTGGAACGAAAGAATGCGATTTTTTCCTTCCACCCCTTCCATAATGGACCCAATGGTGCCTTTTTTCCTGTTCCCAACTGCGCAAACAAGACATGGTACAGTGAAGCTAAACAGCGAAACATTTGCCCGTTCATTGTTTCGAGAGAACGTGCCCGGTAATTGGATTCACGAATGCGAATTGAATATGTAAAGCTAGTTAAAGAGCAGAAGCTTGCTTCTGAGAGTTTCGCGAAATCGTTCTGCAGGACATGCCTCGACTTTGCAAATCGACGAGACTTCTGGGTTAAGAGAAAATTCTCCTAAGTTAGAACTCGATTTTCCCATTTTTCCAGATTTATTTTACCCAACGTTGACATCTCTCGTTTGTCATTTCCCCTGTGGTCCCTATCTCACCCCCTGTCGATTTGAATTTTAATTTACAAAATTTTAATCCCCCAAAATTTCATCCCCGTATTTTATAATTCTATTCGCGTTTATATGGAATTTTTGATATGTCTATTTTGGAAAATTGTTGAATGGATTTCGGAAACTCGATGATAGGCGGTGTTAGCGTTAAGGTGAAAGATATAGGATGGACGCTAATGGCGGGATACGAACGATGCCATGGTTTCTGCTTTTCTGCGAGGAGAAAAAAAAAGGATGAAGAAAAAATGCCATTATTGGAATCGAACCATTTTCGCGCCGATAATTTTACCGCAGAACGAAGTCCGTTCTCGGTGAATGCGCCGTTCCACTGCACGAAACAATAGGGTGCAATCGACCCATTTTCATTAACACGATCATATTTCATAAGACGCATTTCATAAATGCTGCATTAGTAAACAGGAAATGAACGGCAGACAAATTTTTTTTCTTCATATATCGGAAAATCGGAGTTGGTTTTCGAGAATGATTCCGGATACGTAATTCGCAATTCGAATATTTGCAAAGATCGTTTCCCTTCGTTCGTATTACTCGTGAAAAAGATCTGCAAGTTTCTCCATGTTCGATGATCTCGCGGGTAACTGTGTCAGAAAAAGAGCCGACTATTAAATTAATACTTTGCTCGAAAATATGTCAAAGTTACTGACGCTTCGTGGAACGAGCCATCGCCATTACCCCTTTTTTACGAGTAAAACCGCGTTGAACTGAATACTTTCTCACTTTGAGCGCGAACCATGTCAGTTATGCATTATATGGCACGTTATACTATGCGTTGGATTATTTCGATGGCATGTTGTAAAGGTTGACGTTCACTGTTGGTCCTTCGTTTCCCTATGGTGCAGTTTTGTTATGTAGAATATATTAAAATTTTTATAGTGTCCCTTTTTCTAAATATTTTATATATTTTCGTTACTTTTAACCTTCTTGTTGGCATTATATTGGTATTACATTCGTGTTTCATG